TCTCCATATGCTTCCACAACAACCAAGACACCTTGGTGAAGCAGCTGTATTTTCCTGTAGAATCCACAGGATGTATTATTTGTTTCGTAAGGTACAACTACTCCAATGAAAATGATCAGGTAGTAACACTGACAAATCTTGACATTTATTACAACCCAGGCTCAGCCCACTTCCTGGGTATTTATCAGAAAAAAAGCTCACCTGGCCCATTTGATCAGAAGGGCAATTTTCTCTCCACTTGCAATTTGCTATGTCCAGGTTTTATATACTAGAGCAGTGCATATCCAGGCTTCAACATCCAGGAAGACACATTTACACACAGTCAATACAATTAGGAAGAGATTTTAGATGGGAAACTATTTTAGGTTAGCCTTTAACTGTGACCGAATGTAGGCAAACATCCCTCTAGTTTTCCACCCCGACTCCTGCTGCACAAGACGAGTTGCATTTAGAGAATCAATTAAGGTGGAGATAGAGAACATTGTGACTGACCTTTCAGAGAGGGAAATTAAAAGAGCACTTCTAGCTTGTGGGGGAAATGAGCAGTGGATAAAAGGTTTTTTTCTGGCTGCTTTTGGCTTTTAAATGCAGTTTCAGTCAGTCTTTTGTGGGAATTTGTTTTGTGGGTAATGAATGTGCTGGCCATACGGGTGACATTTACCGAGCCGGTCTTGCGGAGGCAGGTCATGGTTCAGTCACTGTACTGTACTGGATGGAAAATTAATTTAATCTCACAGTATTAATATGGGCCACTCCTGAAACTGAAGTTTACCGCACGGGTCATGGCAACACTAATATCTTTTAGGCGAACCAACAACATTAGGCATGGTTTGTTTGACAGTTATTTTAGAATGGTTATTGCTGCGTCATGTGAAGAAAAAGGTTCCCAGCACAGCAACATCCAGATGAATCTATTTTTTTATGTGTGATCTTTTTCGGGATTTACATGCTCAACTTCACCATCATGATTCATAAGTGTCTGTGTCTTTTATTATACTCATGGAACAAGAAGAACAGGATACCTGGGAAAACCCTGACTTGGGCTAAGGTCAGTGGCGGCTGGTGGACAATTTTCTAGATAGGGTATATGTAGATATATCTAGAGATCTCTCTCTCTATATATATATATATATATATATATATATATGGCCATATTGGCAGCACATTCACAAATTCCCACAGAAGACCGACTGAAACTGTATTCAAACGCCAAAAGCAGCCAAAAAAAACATTTGATCCACTGCTCATTTTCCCCACAACTAGAGGTGCTCTTTGAATTTCTCTTTCTGAAAGGTCAGTCACAATGTTCTCCACATTAATTGATTCTTTAAATGCAACTCGTCTTGTGTAGCGGGAGTCTGGTGTGGAAAACTAAAGGGATGTTTACCTACATCCGGTCACAGTTAAAGGCGAAAATAAAATGGTTATCTAAAATCTCATCCCAATTGTATTGATCTATATACCTATATATTTATATATAATACAACATGTGCGAATAGGAATTTTTTCTCTTTTGTCCTTCTGACAAACCTCTCAATGACCTTGTTATTGAAGTCCAGGCAAGGCAATTTTCTTTGTATAGCACATTTCAACAACAAGGCAATTCAAAGTCCTTCACATAAAACCATTAAAAACATCCAAACATAAAGCAAGGAGATTTACAAATGGTTAAGAACATAGATTGAAACGTGAAAGAAATCAGTTGTTAAAAGATTAAAACATTTGCAGTGTAATTTAAGAATGTCTTTAAGAATTCTGAATTGCAGAAACAGTCAATTAAAGAAAGAAGCAAACAGAAAAGTCCTTAATCTGGATTTAAAGGAGCTGAGGCACTCAGCAGACCTGCAGCTTTCTGGGACTTTGTTCCAGATATGTGGATATGTGAACACTGCTTCTCTATGTTTAGTTTTTACTCTGGGAAAAGGAAGTAGAGAAGAAAAGCAGGATTTTAAAGTAAATTCTTCATTTGACAGGAAGCCAGTGTAAAGACCTGAGAACTGGAGCGACGTGATCCACTTTCCTGGTCCTAGTGAGGACTCGAGCTGCAGCGTTCTGGATCAGCTGTAGCTTTCTGATTGACTTTTTACAGAGACATGTAAAAACACTGTTACAGTAGTTGAGACTACTGAAGATAAACGCATGGACAAGTTTTTCCAAATCTTTCCACATCCTACAATACACATTGACAAAATAAATTGTGTTGTGTGGTGTAGTTAGTGGACTCAAACGCACACGCACAGCAGTGAGTTAAATTAAATAGGTTAGCGAGATCTTCCTGGCACCTGAGACCCGCCTGGGAACTGGGACGGACTGACGACGACAACGAGCCTGGGAACTCTGAAGCCTTTATGCCAGTCACTGTGATTCCCGGAATGAGCCACAACTGGGCTACAGAGAGAGGGGCGTGGCCGAAGGCAGGACACAGGGGCAGAAACTCTAGGTTGAAAAACAAAACAAAAGCACAGGGGGAAAACAAAAACCAGATACACAGATAGCAGGATCCTAACAAAATGAATATTAAAACAATTTCAAAATAGCATTTTTGTATATTTTAGATTTTTTAGATGTTTTTTTACATACCAGTGTTACATGTACAGCACAGTAATAACTGGATTACTTTTGATACTAAAGAAAACATTGGGACATGGTGATTAGAAGGAAAGATCTGAGGTGGATTTATATTTATTTGTAAATCAAGATGTGCAAATTGTGCTAGACAACAAATTAACACAGCAGTATATTTTTGGTTTTATCTTAATAATGCATTGATAGCTTCTTGAAATCAGACACTAACTGTTAGCAGTGGAATCATTTACTTACAAGAAGATCTTCTCGAGCGTAACGTTACAAGAACGCCACACACTGTCTCTCATACTGTCTCACTCACCTTCTCACACACTGTCTCTCATACTGTCTCACACTGTCTCTCATACTGTCTCATCCACTGTCTCACACACGTCTCTCATACTGTCTCACACTCTCTCATATTGTCTCACACACTGTCTCTCATACTGTCTCACTCACTGTCTCACACACTGTCTCTCATACTGTCTCACTCACTGTCTCTAATACTGGCTCACACACTGTCTCACACACTGTCTCTCATACTGTCTCACTCACTGTCTCTAATACTGGCTCACACACTGTCTCACACTGTCTTTCATGTTGTACATGTTTGTACAGTGTAGCAATGCAGAAAACATCTGGAAAGCCGCTGCATGTCATGCTCTTCGTAAAATTCTGTAGGTGCTTAATAAACTTCTGGATGTTCCATGTTTCACTGCTTCAATTGATCAAATGTCTGATTATGAGTGATACATACATACTGATTCGCCCATACGCATAATCACAGACACATAATAAAACTAGTTCTAGTAGTTCTATATGGTCATCTACACATACATATATACACATACATGTGATACATAATCACATCCTTTGGCTAGCAGTACCTAACAGAACGAACCCACCAAAATTCAGACTAAGGAGACTGGTTTCCCAGGACACAACCAACGAAGACCTCGGACCGGGTTTTTGGGAAGCAGCCTGTCCCTGGGCAGTCCAACGACTCCTGAATCAATTGCCTTTGGCGTGAAGGTGGCAAAGCAGCGAGTTTGGGAGTTTGAAACAATTATGGAAAAGGAATTGCGGTTGGCACCAAGGTGCTTCTGAAAAACAATCCGGAACCTCAGAAGTGGGGGGAATGGGGGAATTATCAAAACAGTAAGGATGAGACTCTGTTGACTGCAACTAAGGAGGTTATTTGGCGGTGAAAGGAGCACTCTGAATATAACTACTATGCCCTCTTTGGTAGAGGCGGAGCTGGAGGCTGAGGAAGAATCATCGTCAATTTGAGTGTTGGAAGTCACTGAGATCAAGTCAATCAAATCTGGAGTCGCAAAGCCCAGGGATTTATAAGATCTGTCCTAAGATGCTGAGGGCAATGGGTGTCGCCCTTCACCAGGGCTGCGACTGGTCACTAATCCTGTTTGTGGTATTCACAGCAAGGATATTGAGGCATAGTTGGGGGGAGGAGGGTTTACAGTTTGGGGTGCTGCGGATCTCATCATGTCTTTTTGCAGATGATGTGGTCTAATGGCATCTTCGGTCTTTGACCTCCAATTCTCACTGGAGCGGTTCACAGCCGAGTGTGAAGCGATTGGGCAGAAGATTTGCACATGGTTGCATGGTTCTCAGCAGGAAGGGAATTAATCCTTACTCATTTATTTAACCACTCCAACCTGAAGATTGTACTCCCCAAATTCCACCAACATGTCTCCTGCCGCACGAGAGGAGACAAAACTTTGGACAAGGTCTATACCAACATGGCTGATGCCTACAAGGTAGCCCCCCTCCCCCACCTAGGACAGTCTGACCACCTCTCTTTGTTTCTTCTCCCTAAATACACACCACTCATCAAACGTGTGGAACCCACAGTGAGGACAGTTAAAGTGTGGCCAGAGGGAGCAGACTCTGCACTACAGCTTCGGTTCGAACACAGTGTGTTTGCCACTCAGGCCACACTGGACTCCCACACGGACATTGATTCCTATGCCTCTTCCGTTCTGGACTTCATCAAACTCGACAGTGTCACCACACTTAAACGAATCACCACCTTCCCCAACCAGAAGCCATGGATGAACAAAGAGGTCCGCCTACTGCTGAAGGCACGAGACACCGCTTTCAGATCAGGCGATGCTCAAGCCTACAAAAAAATTGTGGCAACAAAGTGACAATTAATTTAATTGATTAGAATTTACTTACTCAACATTTAACCAAACATTATTGAAAGAAATAATTAAATCTAAAATATTTTTACAAGAACAATGATTCATGTCTACTAAGAAAATCATAATAAATGTATATACTTAATTTTTGGGTGAAATTTATTTATAATTACTAAATATTTGGATGAATATGATTTATATTTACTGAATATTTAATTAATCAATACATTTTTGTGTAACAGTAAACTTAACCAACACATCATCATACATACGTACAGCAGGTTAAACTTTATTTGTGCAAATTTCTATAAATACATACAGGAAAAGCTGCATTAAATGAGCATGGTTTATATACATTTGAACAACACAAATAAAGCAGCATTAACACTAGATTGCAACACTAAAAGTGAACTCCAGGAAAGAGCCAAACCTAAACTTCTCAATGTGAATCTTTAAAATTTAATTAACATGCATTGAACAAACAGTAACCACATTGGAGAGTTCTAACAGTAACAACAATTCCCTTTTTTTCTCCAAGGGTCAACGGTTTGAACAGTCCAGCTCCAAGAAAACTTGGAACACCTTAAATGTGTTTAAGTTTCTTTGAATGTGCAAGATTCACTGCATACGCAAACATAACCAGCAGACAGCAAGCCCTTGGAAAGTCCCTTGGTGCAGTCAGAACTTTTACTCCGTCCAACACGATACCGACGTCTGGACTCTTCGACGTGTTCGACTTGTTCCTGTAGATTGTCATCTTTTGTATTGCAAGGTCCTGTGAAACAGCGTCTTCACCAGCATCCTGAAATAGCAAGAAGATTGAGTAGAGGAGTATTACGTACTGTACATCCAAAAGATTAGGTCCCAATTGAACATCAACCAAATTACTTCTACATTCACAAATATCTTATTCTACATTCACTAACAGGCTGGTCATATGTCAACTGATCTCTATATGATAATATAAACTCATTCCTGGAGCTCTTAATCATCCAATCCAATGCAACTATGTTAAAAGGACTCTTGTCTGCTTTGTCAATGGCTCTGAATTCAGACAGCTGGTGTAATCAGATTGAAATGGCGAGCATTTAGTAACAGTCTCCATTTCTGCAGTAGTATTTTTAAAAATCTGTCATAGAATACAAAAATGTGCGCACATACCCAGAGGACAATAAATATTTAATCTGAATTATTATTATTAATGAAACTGTAAAACTCAGCGGCTTTTGCCACAACTTACTAGTAGAAATAACGTTATGATTGTATGTTGTGATTTGACCATTCCAAGACGTGACGGGTAGAAGAGATGAGAGAGATCACTTTCTTTAAATGTCAACATGTGCTTCAACTTACATCACACTCTTTTATGAGTTGATCCATCGTCTCTACAAGGTAGACCCTGAATGACAGCATCTCTGGTCGTAGTAACGCTCGAGATGCTGGATGTCTGAAATGAACATTATGAGTTAAAATTATCCACTCCAATCCTAAATTCCACAAATCCAGCTGTGACTCCGGGAAGTCTTCATAAACTACCACAAAACCACAACATTTTACAACTTGATTTTTGTACGATTAAGACATACCACATTAATAGTGAGCTGATAATAAGGTAATTCACAGTAAAACGTGATTGTAACATTCTAAATTTGAATAATGATGTACCTGAAAAAGTGTCACCTTTATGGAAACTAAAATGCATGCAGTTAGATGACACTTTCTTTGGAGAGTAAATCCAACGTAAACATTGCCTCTGGCAGATGTAAGTGATATTCATCCATCCATCTGTCAGGGATGCGTGGGGGAGGCAGGACTCAAACGCAGACTTCTCCGGAAACAAAATACTTCAATAGTCGAAAAGGGAAAATCAAAGGGCCAAGGGGCAAAAACACACAGGCAAGAAACTACGGACATCCACGACAATAGACAATGACGCGACAAGTGACACAAGAGACACACGGCTTAAATACACAAGGGAGGTGCAGGTGATTGGACACAGGTGGAAACTATTAGACGATCACAGGGGATGACATGACAAGGCAGGAAGTGAAGTTACCCGGGGACACGAGTGACAGAAAACTACAAAATACAACAGGAAGTGAACCACACCGTGACACCATCCATCGTCAAACCGCTTATCCTGCACACAGGGTCACGGGGGGGCTGGAGTCCATCCCAGCCAACTTCGGCCGATAGACAGGGTACATCCTGGATTGGTTGCCAGCCAATCGCAGGGCCACACAGAGACATACAACCATCCACACTCACATTCACACATCTACAGGCAATATAAAGTCCCCAATTAACCTGATCCCCAGTCTTTGGACTGTGGGAGGAAGCCGGAGAACCCGGAGAGAACCCATGCAGACACGGGGAGAACGTGCAGACTCCACACAGAAAGGCCACTGGGCGGAATCGAACCAGGACCTTCTTGATGTGAGGCGACAGTGCGCCCCCCAAGTGATATTCAATTTTTTTTAATTATAAAGTAAAACATTTGCAAACATAATAATAAATGAAACCTTGAGTGGGATGCCTTTAGCCTTTACCCTCAGCTCCATGGCTGCACAGATTGAGAGTGGGTTCCTCCTGCTCGGACATGAACTTTGATTCAAGCTGCACGTTGTGATTCAGGGAAACTCATCCTGGATCTGCAAGACAAATAATGAGATCAGCTTTAGAGCAGCACATATTACAAGCGTACACATGGTTCTTAATGCTGTGTTCACACAGAGTAGTTTACAAACAAATTCAATGCATAGACACAAATAAAGAGTGACTCAAACAATTCGCCTCACGTGCCGTCTACCACTGGCGTGGTCAGGGAGTGGCCTAGGGTGGCACCGGCCACCCCAAGTGCCACCCCAATATCTTAAAATATGATTGGCTATATGCCCAGTCAGAGGCGGGCCACGGCACTGAATGTAAACTGCACTCTTGTTTAGAGTTGCAGTTCCTTCTCAAACCTGAGAGGCAGAGATGCGCAAGTAGTATGTAGCCTGCAAAAAAAACTTGGTTATAATGCATTCGTTCACTAACAATATTTACACAGGTCTTACCTTCAGGAGAACAGCATCCCTTGTGCAGCGGATGTCCAGGTGGTTCAAAATGCGTGGGACGGGAAGTGTCACTCAATTGAAAACAACGTACTCTAAATGAGTTACTCATAAAATATAATTAAAGTCTACTCAGTGATTCATAGCTGATTTTACTCAAGCAAATTTAGTAAGCAAAAACATGTAATAAATAATAAGCATTTATTAAATTCAGCTCAATGTAATTCAAAACTGTACTTTAGTCTTTTTTATTATGTAACAATTACTATTATTTATTTAGTAGATATTAATTAACACCAATCCCAGTTTTTACAGTGTACAGTTCATCCAGGGCTGACTTGAAGAGGGGCATCAAGCAGGCCAAGCACTGCCACAAGCTAAGGATTGAGGAGGACTTCAAGAACAACTCCGACCCCCGTCGCATGTGGCAAGGCATCCAGCCATAACAGACTAAAAACCCACCAGCACCACCCCCCAAAACAATGATGCCTCCTTCCCTGACAAGCTTAACAGCTTTTATGCACGCTTCGACAGGGACAACCAGGAGGCTGCCACCAAGGCTGCGCTCACTTTAGACCGCCACAGCCCCTCACACTCTCCTCCACCGACGTGTGTGCTGCACTGAGCAGGATTCATGCACGTAAGGCTGCTGGCCCTGATGGCGTCCCCGGACGCGTGCTCAGGGCCTGTGCTGGGCAGCTAGCTGAGGTCCTGACTGACATATTCAACCTGTCACTAGCCCAAGCTACTGTTCCCATGTGCTTTAAAACCACCTCTATCTGGCCAGTGCCAAAGCACTTCACCGCAGTGAGCCTAAATGACTTCCGCCTAGTTGCACTCACTCCAACTATCATGAAGTGCTTCGCACCCCTTCCAATTCGCCTACCGCAAGAACAGGAGTACGGAGGATGCCATCTCCACGGCATTACACTCCGCCCTTTCTCACCTGGACAATAACAACAGCTATATGTGGATGCTGTTCATAGACTTCAGTTTAGCTTTCAACACTATCATCTGTCATCCCCTCCAAACTAATCACAAAACTCAGTTACCTGGGTATCAACACTTCCCTCTGTAACTGGATACTGGACTTCTTATCCAACAGACCCCAGTCTGTTAGGATAGAGAACCACACCTCCTCAACCCTCATCCTGAACACCGGTGTGCCACAGGGCTGTGTGCTAAGTCCTCTCCTCTTCTCCCTCTTCATCTACGACTGCACACCTGTACACGGTTCTAATATCATTGTCAAGTTTGCAGACGACACACGGTGATTGGCCTCATCAGTGACAACGATCAGTCGGGCTACAGAGAGGAGGTCCAGCACCTGGCGGTATGGTGCGCTGACATCAACCTGGCTCTCAACACCAAGAAGACCAAAGAGCTAATTGTGGACTTCAGGAAGAAAACTGGCACACACATCCCCATCCATATCAACGGGATGGAGGTTGAGCGTGTCGCCAGCTTCAAGTTCCTGGGTGTCCACATCTCTGAGGACCTCTCTTGGACCCTCAACACCTCATCCCTGGTAAAGAAAGCACAGCAGCGTCTCTTCTTCCTGAGGAGACTGAAGAAGGCCCATCTGTCTCCTCAGATTCTAGAAAATTTCTACAGCTGTACCATAGAGAGCATCCTTACAACAACATCTCAGTATGGTATGGCAGCTGCTCTGTCGCGGACCGTAAATCACTGCAGAGGGTGGTGAAAACTGCCCAACGCATCACCGGTTCCTCACTCCCCACCATTGAGGCTGTCCAGAGCAAGAGATGTCTGCGGAGAGCATGCAGCATCGAAAAGGACAGCTCTCACTCCAGCCACAGACTGTTTGGCCTGGCCTCTGGGAGGCGCTGCAGGGTGCTCCGTTCCCGGACCAGCAGGTTCAGGAACAGCTTCATCCCTGCGGCTGTCACTCTACGGAACTCTGCCCCCCACCCACACACACACATCTCCCTCAGTGACTGTACTTCCCCCCTCCACCCTGGCTTGACTGCCAAATACCCTCCTCCAGCCACTGAACATTTGCACTGTTTTGCATATCCATCTCTTACTGTTCATATTGCATAACTATTTCTTACTGTACATATCTATTTATTCACTTATTACACTTTACACATGCACATCCTCTGCACTTTTTGCACTTCTGGTTGGATGTTAAACTGCATTTTGTTGCCTCAGCACTTGTACCCTGTGCAATGACAATAAAGTTGAATCTAATCTAATCTAATCTAAAAAAGTGAAGGAGTTCAAGTAACTCAGGGTATTGTTCGCCAGTGAGGGGAAAATGGAGTGTAAGTTTGGCTGGGGAAGCAGTAGGGGCTATTGCACTTGCTCGCGTCACCATTGTGACAAAAAGAGAGAAAAAGAGAGCTAAAAGGCACTTTAAATGCAGGGTCATAGTCTTCCCATTGAACACACAGCCTTCAACAGTGCGTCAGGCGTTACATAATGCTGACATCAGAGGAGGGGTTATCTCTTTGGCCCTGTATGTTTGTGCTAACACTTTCCAGTTGTGACAAGGGATAATGATTGGGATATCATGGGAGTTTGGGGATTGGGGATCATGGGAGATCGGGGATCCCATCAGTTAAAACGAATTACAGTGACAGCTCCTCTACCAAAAAAACAGTAACACACAGGAAAAGAGCGGTTGTTATCCAATCTTCCTCTACATTATATATGTTGTCTTGCAAATAGTATTCTTGTGTTTCTTCACTTTATGTTTCATTGTATTTCCTTGTGCATGTCCGTATTATGGTGTCGTTTAACATAAGCAAGAGAAGTACAAGTTGATTATCAGCCAAAACACCAGCCAAATCCTTTCATGGCTGTGTTTTTCTAACCCACCGTTTCAACCCCTCCAAAATTTTGCAGCTTTCAAATTGCAAGATATATTTCCCGAAAGCATCAATTTAGAGGGTGGTGCTGGAGGAAAGCCCACAAAGTAAATGATACGAAAAAGAACCAATAGACCTGTCCAGTAATTACAGTTTTTTTCAATCGCGAACAAGCGTTTGTCCAAACAGTTGTCACATTTTCAAAACTCTAAACACAATTAGCATCGGTGTTTTGTGGCCATGCCATTCACACATTTCATGTCGTTTTCACACAATATGCAGTCAGTGAACACATGTCCACAATGCTTACATTTTTCTTAACAGACAAGCCATACCTCCCAAGAAAACGATGGATTGTTTTAGTAGTATTCACAAATATTAACCCACACTATCCCAAAATAGCAAAAACAATATTCAAAACCGTAGATACAGTATAAAAAGCTCTGCTTCTGCAATGATATCAGTTCAAAAACAATATATCTCAGCTGATAATGAACAAACTATTAAATAATTGACACACAGCTGATTTATGTTGGGTAATTTGGGCCAACAACAGCTGATTCCAGTCTGGCTTATTTAAGGAGAACTTTGAGGAGTGATGTTTTTGGAGAAAAGAAACAGAAAAAGACAAACACTGTAATGTCTGGACAAGGAAAAGGAAGAGAAATGGGCCCAGGGAGAAGACCAGGTCCAGAAGGAGGTGCAGGTGAAGGAAGAGGAGCAGTGAGAGGTGCAGTAGGAGGTGCAGGAAGAGGAGCAGTGAGAGGTGCAGTAAGAGGTGCGGGTCCAGTGAGAGATGTAGAAGGAGGTGCAGTGAGAGGTGCAGGTGCAGGAAGAGGAGCAGTGAGAGGTGCAGGTCCAGTGAGAGATGTAGAAGGAGGTGCAGTGAGAGGTGGAGGTGCAGTGAGAGGTGCAGGTGCAGGAAGAGAAGCCGGCCCAAGGTAGAGGTGTAAGAATGCGTGGTGGTGGCATTCCAAGGGCTGCAAGAACAGTAGTCAGTGATGAAATTTGTGCCACTATCATTGACC